TTTTTGTAGAGATGGGGTCTCCCTATGTTGCCCAGGCAGGGTCTTGAACTTGTGGCCTCAAGTGAACCTCCTACCTCGGACTCCCAAAGCACTGCGATTGCAGGCATAAACCACATGTCTGGCTGTGTGGCTGCGACTTACATAATATATATAAAGCATTTAATTCAGTGCTTATATAACTGTATATACTCATGAATATTCATGAACACAACACATTCCTTCATTTATTACATTATATATCACAACCATATATATAATATTACATAATATATATGTGGTTGCTGCCACACAGCAAAACAGCAAAAACTTAAATGATGTAGCATTGGCTTACTCAGTGGGCAGCACGCAGCAAGTAAACTGGTATTGTAGGATGGAAAGATGAAAACTCATGTTATACAGAGACAACCTATTTGGTAAAAACATAACTGGCATTTACTGGGAAGGAATACCAAGTATCACGGAACCTTTGGCTTACAGGGCTTTAGCTATGGGTACTGGGGAATGAATTGTTTGTAGTGTGTGTTGGTTGTTATTTATGCTTTTTTTTTTTTTTTTTTTTTTTTGAGACAGGGTCTTGCTCTCTACCCAGGCTAAAGTGCAGTGGCACGATCTCGGCTCACTGCAACCTCTGCCTCCCAGGTTCAAGTAATAATGCTTGTGCGTCAGCCTCCCAGGTAGCTGGGATTTCAGGCGTGTTCCACCACACCCAGCTAATTTTGGTATTTTTAGTAGAGACGGAATTCATTAGGAGTTTCGGTCTCAAACTCCTGGCCTCAAGTTATCCACCTGCCTTGGCTTCCCAAAGCGCTGGGATTACAGGCCTGAGCCATTGTGCTCAGCCTATAGTTGTGCTTTTAAAAAGCGTATTAGAGGAGATAAATAGGCTCAGGAAGGAATGGCTAGTTCAGAAGTGGAAATAATAGAGAACAGATAGACCAGAAATTTGGTCATTCACAGGGTTGAAAACGCTGATTTTACCTAGAACCCAATAATAGGAAGTAAGTTTGAAAAATGCTTTAAGTGGCCAGTTAAGACTGAACCCTGTAGAAAAGACAATATAATTGGTGTAATTATAAGAGGTGTGGCTGGGTATGGTGGCTCACGCCTGTAATCCCAGCACTTTGGGAGGCTGAGGTGGCTGGATCACCTGAGGTCAGGAGTTCCAGACCAGCCTGGCTAACATGGTGAAACCCCATCTGTACTAAAATACAAAAATTAGCCAGTCGTGGTGGCTGGCGCCTGTAATCCCAGCTATTCAGGAGGCTGAGGCAGGAGAATCGCTTAAATCCAGGAGGCGGAGGTTGCAGTGAGGCGAGATCATAGCACTGCACTCCAGCCTGGGTGACAGAGCAAGATTCCATCTCAAAAAAAAAAAAAAAAAAGTATGTAATAGGTATAATCTTCCCACCTGTGTCTGATGGCCTTGAATGGACCCTATCATTAAAGAGAGAGAAAAGTACATGAACAAGAAAGCATCAAGTTAGGGAATTATGTACAACAGGAAACTTTGGACATGGCTATGGATACATGGAAATAACCAGAAGCAAGTACATTAGAACCTGTTACATTTCTGAGAAACTTGCATTGCCCAAGAAACCAACCAGCTCATGCTAGGACCCCAAATTCCTTTAACTGTTCAGGCCTTAAAACACGCATGGGTCCTTGGCTTGAGCCAGCAGGAGTATAAGGTCTTTGCAAAACCTGCCCAGAAGGGTTTTACAATTGCTGTGGACCAGTGACTGCCACGGGCCTCCGTACCTTTCCTTTCTAATGGTGGTTTTTCTTGTGCTTATACTGTTTCTGTACTCAGGGAGGGAGGTAACCTTCACCTGGTTTTTGCTGAGATTCACTCGAGGTGGCTGGCAAAATATTAGGGAAATATTAGGGAAAGTTAGAAGATTATAGCCTCAAACTTTTTGGAAGGCCGAAAGGTTTTAATGGAACAGGCTGAGGGCAGCCAGTTCATTACATTAGAATTTTAAGGCGTAGGGTAAAAGACAGGGATGACGGCCGGGCGCGGTGGCTCA